TAAAATTCAACCACATTACGAAGAAGAGGCTGAAGGATTGTCAGTCCATGGAATCAGCCACCGGCAGCAGGACAGAGCAATGTACCGCCTCGCAGAAGACCCTGAACTCCGACAGCTTCACCGCCCAGGTAGACAAGCAAGCAGGTATATCCGGACGTGCTTGGGTTCTGTTTTAAGGGGGTGGCAGGATGCGCTGTTGTAGGTACAACATGACGTGCTTTCTCTCTCCCCTTCGGCAGACACGCGTTTGTTGGCGCTCGTGTGTCGCGCCATGAAACCGCAAGGCGACAATAATCAGAGCCTGTAGTCCTCGTGTTGTTGCGGTCGTGTGGAAGTCCCCACTAAAGATTAAGATTCTTCGCTTATCCGTACCACCTCGGGCTTCTATGGCGTGGCGATTTCGCACAGCTTTCCACTGAAAATACGCCTTCTCGAGTGACTGGACCGATGACGGTAACGCTCATCCACCGCTTCTCTAGCCCGGATTTGTATAATAGTTGCTTCTTGCTCTCGCCCGCTCCACTCCTAATCCCTCTGTCTCCCCCCCCCCCCCCCCCAATCTCTCTCCCTCTCTCATCGTAGGGAACGGCAGCACTCTGTGTACAACGCCCTCCAGAAAGTCGAGGACGGTTCTTCCCTAGTGTGCATCCACGATGCGGCGCGACCTTTGGTAACCAAGGCAGCGGTAAAAAAGGCAAGCTGTTACTTTGTTGACGGGATACAGTCACCGACAGCACTAACTGCTCTTGCTGTTGTTAAATTATGGATGTACTGGTCGACTGTTTTTTGACACGCTTTTTGTTCATGCCGTCGCATACATTCTGCCGGTTGTGTTTACGCCATTCGTTACCCTTACGCAATCTGTACATCGCAGGCATAGCGCCGGTTCCACTGCTGTAGACTAGTAAAACACGGTCTTCTTTTTTTCTTTTTCTATGCACGACAGGTGATCGCAGATGCCGATGAGTACGGCGCAGCGGTCCTAGGAGTGCCGATGAAGGCTACCGTCAAGGTGAAGAAGTTTGACACCTTCGGAACAGGCAGCGCTGCTGTACTGCAGGACATGCTTGAGTTAGTAGTTGGAACGAAGTACGTACTGTACCAGAATAGTAAAGCGCAGCAAACTCGAAACTTCAACGTATTTGCCTTGCGCTCGGGAATCCATTTCTTCACGCCCACCGCTGTTGGGATGCCTCGACATTTCTGTTCGGACGCCTTGACATTTGGGAGGAGCGGATGGCTTCGGATCGACGACAGTGCGATGATTTTTCTTTCAAGCCCCTTTGCGTTGCTCTGCTACTATTAATAGTGCTCACCAACGCCCCCCCACCCCTTCCCCCCCCCGCGTGCTTGGGCGTCCTCTTGAGCAGGAGAGCGCCGACGGGCAGTTCGTGCAGCGGACCATCGATCGATCCCGCCTGTGGGACATCCAAACCCCCCAGGTTAGCGCTATTGTCGCTTGCATCAATTTTGTTTTCTTGTGTCTGCTTTATCTTGTGTTTGGGTTTAGTTTCTTTCTTCAACTTTTGGCAGCGACCCCCCCTTCCGTGTGATGTAGTCTGCCGCAGTACCGCCTGTTGTTGCAGGGGTGGCTCCAAGCCGTATGGCAAGCTCCGGGTGGCCCCACACCGCTGCAAGTACGAGCTCAGGTCATGCGCTATCTACCTGCAGCAGGCACGCAGTATGTAGACCTGACGCCCCATTCCTTATTTCGTCCCCTCCCTCTTGCTGGATGCCGGCCGTTTCCTACCGTTTCGGGACGGAACGCGTCCCCAAGGTGGTGAAACCTGACCTCCTTCGACGGGGGTTCGACAAGGTTATGAGCGAACGGTGAGTCTTGCGCGCGTTCCGGCAACGCAATGGCCATCTCAATGTGTGTGCAATCTCGTTGATGGTGTGACCGAGGGACAGAATACAAGTTCTAGGATGGTTTTTCGCACTACGCCCATATGTTGCCCACTCCCTCTGCGCTGTCCCTTCAACAGCAGTGTCTTGTAGAGGCGGGCTAGTAGCGGGTGGGGCGTACTCATGTTTTGCATGCCTTAGCGGTTAGACCATGGACCACTCGTGAGCGGGGGGAGGGGGGGGTCGCTTGTCCCTCCCCACGCGAGAAGCGTCTGCGCTATCCCCTCGTGTCTGTAGCTTGCTGTCGCTGGCATTCCGTGTGTGAACATGCCGAGGTCGTGAGGATAAATGCACAAGAATGTGTGCCGCTTTGTATCCTGTGCGCTCTCCCGTACTTACGTTACGGGGTACGCCGACGAAGCGCCGATGCGTGGCCACGGGGACCACATCGCCACCCTTGGTGATTATGCCCCTTTCGTACCCATGGCCACCTTGCTTGCCACTGATTCGTTGCTACCGCGGCGTGTTGTGGCGCATGTTTAGGTTGACTCAGTACTAGGTACGGATCTGCGCAGATCGAGGCGGTTTCGTGTATATGTAGAAGGGTGACCCCCCTGCGTGGGCCAGCGTGCCATCGTCTTGGGGCAACCTTATCCTTTCTTCACAGCCTCTGACGATTTGGACCCACTACCCAACACGATGTGTGTGTCACCGCAGGTGGGAGGTGACCGATGACGTGTCCATCGTGGAGCAGCTCGGGTTGCCGGTAGGTGGATGTGGTTGACAGGTGCCCTTGGTTGGATTTTGCACCGCCTATGACAACTCCGACCACTTTCAGCTGTTGGTGAGGTAAATAGGTCGGAGGGTCGATTTTCTCTGTTGGTGTTTAGCCCGAGCTTTGTTGGGGATCGTTGCATATGAATGCTGCTGTGGCTGCAAGAGCACCCGCGGCCTTTTTGGCGCTTGCCGTGTTGGAAGAGTGTCACGGTCTTGCGTTTTCAACCGAGCAGCATCTTCTGTGTTCGTTGTGGCCAAGCCGCCGCTAATTGTTCCGCATTCAAGCGCCTGCAGTGCAATGCTCGAAGCCGCTGCTTCCAAAAGTTCCCCTTCTGCTCAGGGAACCGCATGTATCATCTGGTAAATTTTTTCTCATCTGTTTTTCGGGTGTATGGCTGGTGAAAATCCCGCGGCCGCAAACGGAAGCCATCCGTGCCACGAAAGCTCCTGCGTACCGTACGTGCTGTTGCCTGTTTGTCGAGACCGGTGGAATGTCCGCGGGAGAAAACAGAAGCCATCCGTACCGCGAAAGCTCGTGCGTACCGTGCATCCTGATGTTGCCTGTGTGTCAAAAGACAAAAAAAAGACTCTTGATTTGAATTTGTCTCCCTTCCGTGCGCGGCGAGAGCAGGTGAAGCTTACCGAGGGAGACTACACCAACCTAAAGCTCACCACCCCTGAGGACCTGGTGGTCGCCTCCCGCATCCTCGAGGCCCGACGATTATACGAAGCCGAGCACGGCACGGGGGACGACGACGACGATGAAGACGAAGAGGAGGGCAGGGAGAGCATCTCCCAGATCCGCGCCAACGAGAGGTGGACCAACCAGCCGCGCCCCATCGGAAGCGCCCCGGAGGACGAGAAGGAGAGCATCTCGCAGATCCGGGCGAATGAGAAGTGGGTGGAAGGGTCTCCCGGTTCGGCGAATAGCTACGACGAGCCCATGGTGAATCTCTCCAAGATGCGGGCTAACAGTTAGGTTTTTTTATTGGGGGGGGGGGGGGGCGGGCAGGTCTAAGTTTTTTCGTGTGGCGGAGAGGGAATTAGAGGGGGGTAGACTTGTCTGTTGGGCACGTCCTTGTTTGTGTGTTTTCCACGCGTTGAAGTGTGCGGTTTGGTTCCCAGAATTGGTGAGAAACGTCGGCGGTCATCGGGGCACGACAAGAAAAAAGCGGAGACTCCGCGGATGGTGTTGTACGCTCTTGGGTGCCGGGCTCTCAGGCGCCAAACGTCTCCCGAGAGCGACCGGTTGCTGAACGCGCCGGTTTGTGTGTGGAGCGTTTCGGGGAGTACGACAGCACCACGTTTTCTTGTTTTTGTGTAACCGACTTTGCCCTCCGCGGGAAAAATAGAAGCAGCTGCCGGTGGGGTACAGTAGTAGAGTTTTTTTTGAAACGTCTTGGTAATACGGTTACCCAGCACTCCAGCAATGCGATGTAGTTGGTCTGGTGCGTTGAAGCGAATGGGGACCTAACGTTTGCTTTGGAGACATCGGTGTGTGAGTCGCGGCAGTGCAATACTTCACATCAAGGCGTGTGTCGCTTCTCTGTGTAGAGCGAGGCTGGCGAAGCCTGTCTGCACATACCGCGCGTATTATGTGTGAATCCATGATAGGTTTCCTCCGAGAGCCTGTCTATCGCGCGCGCGGCACACGCCTAAATGACCACTCGGGTGGAAGACGGCCTACAGACAGTCAGGCTGTGAGCACAATACTAAAACCCAAAACGCGACGTGTAGCCATTCGGGTTGAATCAGGCGTACGTTCCGTCGTCTGTTTTGTTGCAATGTCTTTTTTCCGTACAAAGTGTGTCACCAAGTAGGCATACGAGAATGAGAAACAACCTTGTCGCCGCATGCATGCGTTTCTTTGCTCAAATTGTTGTTGCTCTCCGTTCACAATCAGTCCCGGGAAACTTTTGCGCTATTCCTTTGTACAAAAAAAACGGTACGCCAACAGGCGATCAACTCCTGTCTCGAGGTTCTCCTTGGGCCGAAAATATGTGCAGAACTTTGAAACGACGTCGTTTTTGGTGGATTTCCACCTCCCTCGAAAAAATGGGAAATCTGTTTGCGTGGAGCAATAGCAAGCACGCAATTACTCTGGAAGAAAAGCGCGGCTCACTGGTTGATGAAACCCCGATATTTCGCTTTCGAAAAATAATTGACAGAGATCACGTAGAATGTTTGATTTGATGTTGTCCTGCTTTTCCGAGAGAGATGACGCCGTACCACCAGTAGATTGTTGTGTCTATTTGTTCTTCTACCAGGCAGGCAGGTTTGACGCGAAAATCAACCAAACAAAGCAAAGTGCTTACAGGCTTTCCGCTCGCTTGGCTTTGGTGTTGATGAGAGGCCAGGCGGAAGGTGTTCTACATAAACCTACCTCATCATCGTGGCACCTCAACTTTGCGCCACGCTGTCTCGCATGTGTCCAAACCGGTTCACCCGCAGCATGTTCCCAAGCTCTAGCTTGGGTCTCAGTCGATCAAAAGTCTTTTTTTTCCGTCTGTGGAGTTTTCAGTAGCATAGCGGACCCCTTGCCCGACCGGGTCGAAAAGGCCGATCTCAGCCCACACTGCGAACCTCCGAGAACTACCAGCAGTTCTGGGTAGCTGAGACGATTTCAAGACCTCTCACAGTCGTTTGAGCATCTATCGCTTGCTGTGGGGCGATAACCAGTTTCTCCGTCGACAAGAAGATCTGCGTTACATCGTCACATCGGAACGACCAGATTGGTTGACTTGTCGTTGAGGGTCCTCTTTTTATAGATCTTTTTGTATAAGAGTCGTCTTCATTTTTTTCGCCGCCCGCGCCAACCCTTCTTTTTTACAGATCTATTTATATAGAGTCGTCTTCTTTTTTTCGCCGCCCGCCCCAAGCCTTGCTTGCTTCTCAGATCTATTTATATAGAGTCGTCTTCTTTTTTTCGCCGCCCGCCCCAAGCCTTGCTTGCTTCTCTCGTGTCCCGCGCCAAGCCTTGCTTGCTGGCTACGCTTCTCTCGAGATGCTGACCGACCTCAGCACACAGCTGGACATTCTGTGTACATACAGCAGGAGCTGCTTTTGTTCTGTTGTTGCAGCTTTCTGCATGGATGGCTCTTTTGTGGTGCGAAAATTAGCATTTATTGTTGTTGTTGATGTGCGGACGAGAGGACGAGAGTGGTAGGCAAAAGCAGTACGTACCTGCAAATCTCCGGCAACTACCAGCAGTTCTGGGTAGCTGAGACGATTTCAAGACCTCTCACAGTCGTTTGAGCAGCTATCGCTCGCTGTGGGGCGATAACCAGTGATTTTGTGATTTTCTTCCTTAGTCTATAGTGACCGTTGTACACATGCGGTGGCTGCTGTTATGCTTTTTTTCTCTGTGCCGATATCCATGAAGAAAAGCAACGGCAGCACGGTTGAAGATACAGACAACAGACGGTCCGCCATACCCTTTTTTTTTTCTTCCCTTACATGCATGGATGGGTGGTAAAGCATCGCAAGCGTGTTGCTGCCTTACTTACCTTTAGTGTGCTGCGTAGTCGTAATTTGAGCGATAAGGGGTAGATGGC